ATATAACAAAGCCTTAATGTTATTTGGTTTGTGCTTGCCAGATTCGTAGATGCCTATGAAATAGGTTCAATTCCGAATTGAGTTTTCTTTTTAACTCTACTTTGTGGGGGTGACAGAGTAATAAAATAGCTGATACTTCAGCTGAGCAAGCCCGGAAAGGGAAAGACATTCAGGGTATTCCTTGGGACAGGCTTAGCATTACCAGAGAGAAATACAGACAAACTAGACTTCAACAGTATAAAAACTACGAAAATGTCCCTAACTCTGGTGATTCCTCCGAGAAAGTATGTCTTCTTCTTCTGCTTCTCATTTTCTCACCCTTGAGCTATTGTTTCGTTAATAGTATTGGTTTCCACTATTACATAACATGTAATTTGCTTCTCAGGATTGCATGGTCACGCAGAAAGGAGCCGCTTTTTATGATTTCTGGCGGAATTCAAGATCTATCAAATCAAGTATCCTTCATTTCCAGGTTACTCGTCAAAAAAACATAGCTATTGTTGTCATCAAAAAGTATGTCTTTGGTTAGCGAGGACGTGGACATCTAATAAAACTCGGTTTCTTTTTGTATTTGCAGTTGAGGAATTTGGTTTGGGCAACCTCTAAGCACGATGTCTACCTTATGTCTCAATTTCTGGTTAGCCACTATTCTACTTTGACATCTGCAAAGCATGAAGTTCTCAATGTTCAAGGTCATGTTTCCCCATCCGAGGTTTGTTTCTTCTTCCAGCATCATCTAAGGTTATTCTATAAACATCTACATCAGCTAATGGTGGGTATTCTATCTCTGTGTCGTTGCAGAAACATCCTGGAAGTTTTCTGGAGGGATTTACCAAGACTCAAGTGAGCACACTTGCTGTGAGGGATAAGTTTTTAGTTGCTGGCGGATTTCAAGGAGAACTTATATGCAAGGTAAACTCTGGAGTTTTACGAATCATGGATTTCACATACATGCAATCTTTTCCTTGGATCAAAACACATACTTGCAATCTAATCAAATGTTTCCTCATTGATAATTGATCAGCATCTTGATAGACCTGGTGTGAGCTTTTGTTCCCGTACAACTTATGATGATAATGCTATCACTAATGCAATTGAGATTTATAACAAACCCAGGTATTTGCTTGTCTTTTTTTTTTTTTTTTTTAATCAACGCTTGTCTTTTGCTCCATGTATTTTTGCCAACATACAGCTTCTAACATACCCTTTCGCCTGTGTCTGTTTTTCTGCAGTGGCGCACTTCATTTTACCGCCTCAAATAATGATTGCGGAGTCAGAGATTTTGATATGGAGAGATATCAACTTGTTAACTATTTTCGCTTTCCTTGGCCAGTCAACGTAAGTCTCTACTTGTTTCTTGATTCTCAATTTTTTTTTTTTTGCTTTGGCACAAGCCGATATCACACTTGCGGCAGTAAATTTGAGTAAGAAAGAACTGCCATATGGATTGAAACTTACATCTGTTACATTATGAAAACTGTAAATGTAGTTGTAGCATGAATCATTAATATAACGAAAATGGATCATTTTTTTTTTATTGTCAGCACACATCTCTGAGTCCTGATGGTAAATTATTGACGATTGTGGGAGACAACCCAGAGGGCCTTCTCGTAGACCCCAACACGGGAAAGGTGATGAAACTATCTCTATGTTTGAAAGTCTTTCTAATGAATAAGCGTTTTCTTCTAACTCAGTTGGAAATTTCCGACAGACACTGGGAACACTAGCAGGACATTTGGACTTCTCCTTTGCATCGGCGTGGCATCCAGATGGGCTCACCTTCTCGACAGGTAACCAAGACAAGACATGCCGGGTCTGGGACATACGTAACCTGTCCAAGTCTGTCGCTGTCTTGAGGGGTAACCTTGGAGCAATCCGATCCATCCGCTACACATCTGATGGGAAATACATGGCCATGGCTGAGCCGGCTGACTTTGTCCATGTGTACGACGTGTCAAAAGGGTATGAAACAGAGCAAGAGATCGATTTCTTTGGGGAGATCTCGGGAATATCCTTCAGCCCTGACACCGAAGCGCTCTTCATCGGTGTTTGGGACCGTACTTACGGTAGCCTCCTTGAGTATGGCAGGTGCCACAACTACTCCTACCTTGAGTCATTTCTATAATCATTTCGACCCTTCAGAAGAATAAAAGAGCTGCATTCTCCCGTGGCTTTGTTAACCGACAAAAAATAACATAATAGTAATAATCAAATCTCTTAGTGGTGTAAATGATGTGTTGTGCAAGTACTAGGATGTCACAGAGAGTCGATTTAGTTAGCTTCCGAGTGTTGTTGAGGTTCGTGTATGTGTACAAAAGTGTTGTATTTCAGTTTTAAGTTATAAACTCTTTACTCTGGCCAGACCAGAAACAGACAACCCGGTTCGAGTGGATTATAAAATGTTTAGTGGATTAAATCGAACATGAAGAAAGTTAAGTAGGGGTAAACTTATTAGGGAGTAGAGAATTGTCGAAACTGTGAGAGCTTTGACGCAAATATTTGAATGTTAAAGTACAACTCTTTAGAAACAATTTCCAAACTATCAGGGGCTTTAACACAAATATTTAACCGGTGTTGAATCTCGTGGATTAAATCGAAACAAAATAGAGTAAGGCGCTTTGAGGAAAACAGTCTAAAAGCAAGGGGGGCATTAAGACAAAACTATTTGCCTGAAAATCTCATAATCCAAAACGCACCAACAAGAGAATGCCACGTCATCAACCAGGGATCGTGTCCTCACAAACAAAATCTTGTATCGTCTACTCCAAGAAGCCAAAAGCTAAAGAAGATCATAAATCCAAAACCACTCATTCTCTCCTGCACTAAGACTCTCCAAAAGAAGAAGAAGAAACATGGCGACAAGCGCATCTGCTTTGCTCACACCCACAACAACCTTCTCCACCACAATCTCCCAGAAAAACCCAAACTCAATCTCCTTCCACGGCCTCCGTCCTCACCGCCTCGGTAGCTCCTCCTCCGCCTTACCCAAGCTATCCACCACCTCCGGGAGAAGATCTTCCTCCGCCGTCGTTAGAGCCGAACTCAGCCCATCCGTCGTCATAAGCCTCAGCACTGGTCTCTCCCTCTTCCTAGGGCGGTTCGTCTTCTTCAACTTCCAGAGAGAGAATGTGGCGAAACAGGTTCCGGAGCAGAACGGGAAAACCCATTTCGAAGCCGGTGATGATCGTGCCAAGGAATATGTAAGCCTCTTGAAATCGAACGACCCTGTTGGGTTCAACATTGTTGATGTTCTTGCTTGGGGTTCTATTGGACACATTGTTGCTTACTATGTCTTGGCCACTTCTAGCAATGGCTACGACCCAAGCTTCTTTGGCTGATTCATTCAGTCTCTGTCTCGTTTATGTATGTGTGTTTGACTTGTATCGCAAGCTACCTAGTCTATTCTCTTGTCTCTGTTTCTTCTACCATTGGACACATTGTTGTTATTGTCTAGGGCATTCTCTCTTTCGTTTGCAAACAACATGAATATATTTCGTGATCTAAAAATGGCTGTTTAGGTGGTCTAAAGAAAGACTTTTGTTATATCAAGTGCATCAGAATTATGGCTTTTAAAGAACAAATCAATGGCTAAAATAACTAAGGGCATGATTATTGGTAGGACAATAAAAAAGTCCTTCGCATATTTTACTAATTTTTTTAAGTTTGGGACAAAGGTTAAGGACTTTTGTAAGTTTATAGATTATTGGTAGGACAAAAAAAGTCCTTAAAATATTTTACTTCAATTTATTTTAATGTTTGATAATCTAACTATATTAAAAGGCCATAATCAAGCTCTATGAGCTATGCCACATCAGCAATTATAATCAACTAATAAAAAAGCTCCAAATAGCCACGTCAGAACATTGTTACACAGACACTTTATACAGAAAACAAAACGATCTCTGTCGTTTCTTTCTCTTCGCTTCTCTGTAACTCTCCCGATGATTTCTCTCGATGGATCGATCCTTTCTTACTCACCAGGGATTGTACAACACCAAAGCTATTTTGTCTCTGTTTGTACCTTTCCTTCGATATAACCGAAGGATTTGTTCATCGTGGTTTGTGGAACGAGAGAGAGGAGCATGTGTTGTTGATAGGAAGATAGCGATTGGAGTCTGCGTCATGGACAGACTACAAGCGTTTGGCCAATTTGAGGTAAGATTGATCGGCCAATTGGAATTATAGACAACCCTAATTTTGTGATTCCAAAATACGTTTATTTTTTCTTTGCGGATACTGGTAAGGGAGAAGGTTTTAAGAATGTACCAGTGCTTAAGCCGCTTTAATAAGTCCTCGCTGATCTGTTTTTGAGGCGTGGTGATTTTTTGATTTGTTTGTCCCTGTAATTCATATGCAATTCATGCCCTAGATGCGCGTTTAGAGGTGAAAAGAATAAATAAATTTTCTGTTGGGTTTTGTTTCTTGGTGAGAGAGAAAGAGACAAGAGAGAATCCAAGGATGGGAAGAGGGAAAGTTGAGTTGAAGAGGATAGATAAAAAGATCAACAGGCAAGTTACTTTTGCAAAGAGAAGGAATGGTGCTTAAAAAGGCTTATGAGCTTTCTGTGCTTTGTGATGCTGAGATTGCTCTTCTCATTTTCTCTAACCGCTCTACGAGTTCTGCAGCAGCCTTAGGTAACAAAATCTTTAACATTTCACTCTCATCTCCTCCAAAGTTTCTATATTTACTGACCCTTTTCAGGTTTTAGGACTTTGAACTTTGATTCTTTGAGGATTGTGAGAGTATAAAATCTTGTGAGGATTGTGGCTATCGCAATTCTGAGGTAGTTTCCCTGTGCCTTGATATTTTTAGAGATTTTAATTTTACAGACATATGTTTGCTAATGACTTTTTGGGTGGTAATCGTGAGCAGTTGAAGCCTGGTAGTGCTATTCCTGAAAAGGGAAAGAAAATTACTCTCTCTGTGAAGAACATCGCTGACCTTAGCCGAGATGTTATTAAGGTTAGATTTTTTACTTCAGTTTGTATAATGTAGGTTTGCATCATTCTATGTATCTTATAAAGTAGTTAGAGTAAAGTTGAAGAATATGCCCTTCCAGAAAGTTGTAAATTGAACTTTAACAGAATGTATGTAGTTTAAGTTGGGTAAAGGTTTGTCAATGAATCAGCCTTAGTGGTAGATTTTATTTCGTACTGTGGGAAATCTTTCATTCAAATGTATCGTATAGACTCATGTCCTGTCAAAAAAAAACATGTCCTGTCACAAAAGAAAATAGTTAGGTCGGGGAAGGTGTTACAATAATGTCAGATAAGTGGCAAATCATATGTAAAACAAAACTTGTCTGATCTTTCTGAGCCTTTGGTAGCTATATAACACATCTGATGGTAATGTTATAGTAGACAACATTATGGCCCACTACTTAGGCTACTAAATGTATAGTATTTTGTATTCTTCGAGCAATACCTTCTACCATGTTACTTATGGTGAATGTTGTTTATCGCGTGTATTAGTCAGACACTGCAGGCGTGAACATTCCAGAACTTGATCTGGAGTTAGCTGGTGGTACGCTTGGTGGAATGGTAACAACTGTTGAAGGGTTGGTCACGCAGATCAGAGAAAGTGAGTATGCTCTTTCATGATTATATTTAAGTGGTCCAGTTATTGTGGAACATATATACTAAACCATAGCATGGATTATAGCTCTTAGGTACTGACCCAAGTGTGTTATGGTTTCTCACAGGCCTAGCGAGAGTTCACGGGTTCACATTTGGTGATAGTCTAGATGAGAGTAAGAAGAACAAATGGAAAGAATTTGGAGCCAGGATAACTAAGGTAGCATCTTTTATTGAATTTATGTTAATTATTTATCACAGTCGTCGTGTTCTTGATGAGCAGGAAGCAAAGGAATAAGACACCTGATTTTTGTAATGAAGATGTTTTTATTTCCCCCGTTTTCTTGCAGCTCCTGAGCTTAGAAGAGCCATGGACTTTGATCCTCGATGATGAATTAGCAAACTCCTTTATTTCACCAGTAACAGATGATATCAAAGATGATAATCAACTTACATGTAAGTTCCTCGTTTTCCCTTACTAGCCTTAACTTGGTTTAGAACAAGATGGACTTTGATCCTCGATGATAGATGGACAGCTAAATTACCTTAAACCTCGAAAGATGGCTGGATAACTTGATTGATATGTACGTCTTTTGTTGTATGGTAAACACTAAACAATCCAATAATCAACGAGCAAACTGCTCATTTTTAAAATACATTGTTCAGCTCAAAATCTATGTAAAATCTAAAATTTTATGCTTATATCAATCAATTTAGTGACAAAATGATACTTGGTAATGTTGACCAACTACATATATCTTTATAATTGTCACCAGTGGTTTCTTTGTCCGTATATAATCATTGCTTACTTTTATTTATCTTTGTGCACCGCTTTCCTTTTCTTTGAATCAACTTACATGACTAAAGACTATTCACCAGTGGTAAAGAAAGCTCGCAGCTGTTTCACTTCATCCGTCTGAAACTCTAGAAAGACGTATTAAGTGAAAGCAAGACAAACCAGGTCTCAAATCTTTCTCGTCCTCTCTTTCATGCTTATGTTTCTTGAAACTATAACATCTTTGTTATTGAGCTGAGAAGCTAAGATATTTTAAAAGAATCCTCTTCAATAAAGCCTAAACCTTTACTTATACTATCGAATTACTTGATGATTGGTTCCTAAAGGTATTTTTTTGGTTGTTGTTGTTGTTGTTGTATTGTAGTTAATTTGTCGAACACAAAGAAGTAAATAACGGAGGGCGCACAAGGAGAGTATTGTTAATGGCATCAGAGTGCCGAAACTGTAACTCTGTCCATGTACCACTCAATAGAGATCTTAATAAAACAAAGCATGGAAAAAGAAACCAAATCTCTGAATTCTCATTCTTGTGTACTCATGTTGTTTTATTGGGAATCTCTAAGTTCTTAGAGTACTTTGTTACTTTCAATGTTATAAAAATAAATAAAACACAAAACACATTTTATGAGTTAGATTAATCTTGGAAAAAGTCTTTCATGGGTATAAGAATATTGTGAATCTCAATTTTTATATATTGTATAATTTTTTTGTAAATCTACCCTTTAGAGCTTATAAGGGGGTTTTTTATGCCAATATCTTTTTTTATATTTGCTACTTAGCATATACCATTCAATAAATATTTTAATAAAACTAGAGATTATCACCGTGCTACGCTCAAATTACATACTTTAATTTATTCAGCTTTTATTTTTAATTATTATTTAAATGGTTTGGTTATGATTTTTATTCGGTGCTATATTATATTTTAAATTCTACAGTTCTATTCTAATATTTCAAATCTTTTCTACATCATTTCTCGATTTTATTACTTCCTAATTTTTGGATCAAGATAACAAGAGATTTATTTTATTTTAAAATAGTGTTACACAAACCTAAAATAAGCATTCAGGTAAAGCAGACAGAAATAAATTAAGGCTTTCTTCTCTTTGCTTTTGAGCTCCATTTACTTTTTATTTAGAATGATGTAATATTTTTCTTAATTATAATGTTTGAAAATGTGTTGAATTTTAATTTGTCTTTGTATCTAAGTATACACATAATTTATATTTTCTATATGCCGTAAATGTTAAAAGGAGAATCCAAACTATTGAGATGTAAATTTTAATTTAATTAAAAATATATAATTAGTATTTTCATATAAAATATTGAATTTTCCGAGTTGTGATATTTTCTGCTAGAGAAAATATTTTATTTTCATATCATTGTAGCCTCAAATAATGATAAAAAGTCTTATAAAATAATTATATAGTTATACATATATATATATATAAATATATATAGATACTTAACTTAAAATTAAATTAAATTTACAACTCAATTGGACTGGTGTGACCATTAACCTAATTGCAATGTCAAGTTAATGTTCGGTTTGGTATTCAAAAACAAAGATAAATTAATATCATCCAGTTTATAAATAAATATAATAAATAAACATTATTCATAACAACAAAATCTATACAATCTTAAATTTTTATAATATCATTTAAAAAAAATCAATTCATTTTATATACTTAATTTTCAGATTGTGATAGTGATTATTTTTTACCAACATATTGAAGATAGAAAATAATTAAATAAACAAATTAAAATATTACATAATTATTATGTAAGTTATTTATACCAATAATAAAATGAGGATTTTGTTAAAAGAAAACAAAAAAATCTATATTTTGTAAAAGAAACTGTTTATTATTAGTCTTATTTATAAAATTCTTATTTGCATTAACTATAATAATTTTGTCAATATTATATTTTTCTATTTAATTTAGCATTCTATTTCTTCTGTTTTTAATTAAAATTTTAATTATAAAATATATTTGATCAAAAAAATTATAAAATATATTATATATATATAAATAATATGATTGAAAATTTTGTTTAATAGATTAAGATCTAGTAAGATATAAAAGATTCATTGCAAATAAAACCTCATGAACAATCCTGTGACGGTGAGTGATATACTTGTGCAAATTGATATACGCACTCACAATCCTATTAACCTCATGAACAATCCTGATCAAACGAGTATACACTTGCATAGGACTCATCCTCAACTCACAAATCAATCTATCAATCTTGTTAAGCACCAAACAAGGAGTCAAGCTTGACGCAACACAGCATGCGTCTGAATTTGTACACCTTCAACAGCATTAACCAAAACCAAAGCACCATCACTAAGCCTAGCAGCTGTAGAGACTTCACTACAGAAGTCCATGTAGTGATGAAACACGAAGAGTAATACACACATGTATGATGCAAAGATCTCATAAGCATATTTCTGGTGATGAAACACGAATCAAACATTCATAACCTTAATAATCATGTCAGGGAACTTCTCAGCAAGATCTCAATGCTGGTACCACTCTTTTTACAGGCAATTATCAACTGAAATAGGCAAAGAAAAACGTTACAGAGATTGCTGACTAGTGTAAGCAAGATCATGCCTAAAAGTAGAGATAAAAGCAATTACTTTAAACTTAAAAAGAAAAAGAAAGCTGCATCAAGGAGATTATCAAAAGAAAGAAACTTTGAGTTAGAGACACAACTCTTAAGTTAGAGAAAGTGTTGTCATTGTCCTATAAAACACAACAACTACAATTTCTCATAGAATAAAGAGAATTGTGATATTGAAATCAGAAGTGATATTGATAATCAGAAGTAGTATTGATAATCAGAACTGGCTGTATGTTAAGTAAAGAAGTAGTTACTCAACAACAGAACTCTTTATTAATATCTTTCTCGATCGAATTACAATATTAGAGGGAATCTCATACGAATCCCTCTCTCACTCTCATACGAGTAAGGATCCAGCTCATACGCTAAGATCTATAACACTGTAAAACAATCGATAAACTCTAACTGACAATTCCCACTGTATTTATACTTCACTCTCCACCACTCTGCAACTCCCACGTGTCTCCTTTATTTGAAGACTTCTCACGTGTTTACTCCTTTCACTCCTCTAGCTCTTCTTCTACTGTAAGTATGTTTATACCTATCAATACTCCCCCCATTGAGACCAAGCTTGCCCTCAAGCTTGTAAGAAGGAAACTGAGCCTCAAACTCACGTAATAACATCCAAGAATTATCGTGGTCCAAACGACCCTCCCATTGCACTAACAACTCCAACTCACCGTCCTTGTTCCGTCGCGAAGCCACAATATCAGACGGCTGCAATATTACCTCTGTCAAATCCGAACTCACAGGAGGAACACTCTGCACCTGTTGTCCCTGACCCAAGGCTGCCTTTAACTGCGATACGTGAAAAACGGGATGGATACGTGCGTCCGACGGTAACTTCAACTTATACGCCACTTTGCCAATTCTCTCCTCCACCTCATAAGGTCCAAAATATTTGGCTGCAAGTTTCTGACAGAAGCGGCGCACAACCGTGTGTTGACGGAACGGTTTAAGTTTCAAATACACCCAATCTCCCACGGCAAAACTTAATTCTCTGCGGTGTTTATCAGCACTCACCTTCATCAACTCTTGTGCCCGTAACAAATGCTTGCGGATTTGAACCAACATTGCATCTCTCTCCTTTAAAGCTATCTCCAAGTCGTAAGTGTTAGTGGAGCCTTCCTCAAAACGCACAATCGTAGGTGGCTCTCTGCCATATACTACCTGGAAAGGGGTAGCTTTAAGTGCTGTGTGAAATGAGGTGTTGTACCACAGTTCGGCCCACGTGAGATACTTGAACCAAGTACGAGGATGACTAGACGCAAAACATCTCAGATACGTCTCCATACAACGATTCAACACCTCTGTTTGGCCATCCGTCTGAGGGTGAAAAGCCGTGCTATACTTCAACTGAGTTCCCGACAATCGAAACAAATCTTTCCAGAACGAGCTTAAGAAGATTCGATCCCTATCCGAGACAATAGAACTGGGAAATCCATGATGCTTAACAACCTCTGAAATGAACTTAGCAGCCACCTCTACCGCTGTAAACGGATGCCTTAGACCAATAAAGTGTCCATATTTACTGAGGCGATCAACCACCACTAGTATTGCATTATAACCTTGAGAACTCGGAAGACCCTCAACAAAATCCATTGACACATCCTCCCACACACGCTGCGGTATAGGTAAAGGTTGAAGAAGACCGGCTGGAGACAGTGTAGAGTACTTGTGTGTTTGACAAATGTTACACTCGGACACATATTTCTGCACCGTCTGATACAACCCTTCCCACGAGAACATTGTCTGAATCCGCTTGACTGTCTTAAGAACTCCTGAATGACCTCCTTGCCTGCCATTGTGATATTCTGATAATATCAAAGGAATAAAAGAAGAATCCTTTGGAATAACCAATCTCCTTTTGTACCACAACCGGCCATCCAACACTCGGAAATTACTGCCTGTCTTCCCTTCATTGAGAACCTCTGCAATCTTCTTTTGAATACCCCCATCAGCTTCAATCTCCCTGTATAACTCCTGTAGTTGAAGAACCGTAGGAACTGTTAAAGCCAATAGTAAAGAACACCCTTCCACTGTTTCCTCATGCTCAATTCTAGATAACCCGTCCGCTGCTTTGTTGTCACACCCAGGCTTATACACAATAATGAAATCAAAGCCTAATAACTTTGTCAGCCAGCGATGATATTCCATGTTAACCTCTTTCTGTTCCAATAGGTACTTCAAGCTCCTGTGATTTGTGTGAACCACGAACTGACGCCCCACCAAATAATGTTTCCATTTTTGAACTGCCATTACCACTGCCATTAATTCCCTCTCATAAGCTGGTTTAACTTGCTCCCTTGCTGTTAACCCGTGGCTGAAAAAAGCAATCGGTTTATTGTCTTGCATTAGCACTGCACCCACCCCATAGCCAGACGCATCTGCTTCAATTACAAACTGCTTCTCAAAATTCGGTAAAGCCAGAACAGGTGTAGAGATCATTGCTTCCTTCAATTTGTCAAATGCCAACTGTGCCTCTCCCGACCACTGAAAGCTGTCTTTCTTCAATAACTCCGTTAATGGTCTCGCTATGGTCCCATATCCTTTCACATAATTCCGGTAATAACCCGTCAAACCCAGAAAACCTCTCAACTCCGTCTTTGGAGTAGGCCATTGTTTCATACACTGTGTTTTAGCTGAATCTGTTGCAACGCCATTACGGGAGATTATATGACCCAAATACTCAATCTGGAACAAGCCAAACGAACATTTCTTGCTATTTGCTAACAACTTCTGCGCCTGCAACACGG